TAAAAGACATCTAGACTTGTTTTTCTTTCCTGTTAGGCTTGGCATGTCAAAAATTCAGAATAGAAAAATAACTTTATTGTCACTTTGAATGTACACTAATCGGCATACATTAAAATGTGTCAAGAGTCTGCAGCAATCCAACCAGCACCAAGTAAATAATTCAGCAGGATTCATTTATAGAAGATACTTCTTTATATACAACAATATAAAGTATGATGCATGTATACAATACCCATGCAGCAGAAGCCAGAACCAGAACTCAGAATCCAGAAGTCAAAATCACAGAAGATATATTGGCATGGTTCATAATAGGTGCTGCTTCTTAGTCACCAAACAGTTCCCATCGGCTGACTAGTTGTTACGGCTCTCCCAGGTCATAATCTCTCTATATAAAAGCGAAATACCACTCACATGTCATCACAAAATCACCAGTACCTTGAAATACAGGTCTGTCCTTAGATTTCAGCCTTAGTGCCACCATGGCCACTCCAAAAGACCACCAGCTGCCATTCTCCAAGGTGCTGTTGCACTTGCACCCAGCATTCCCAAGTGTTCACCGCATGGCTCTTACCTTTAGGCAATATTGCCTTTCTGTTGCAAGGGTGAGCAGTTAGTCTTCCCAAAGTGCCGAATGAAAAACTGGGGTGTTGTGGAAAGCCATACCAATAGGTCTGAGAACGTCTGTAGGCACACACATGCAGATACATAAATTGAAAAAAACAAAACTAGCAATAGCCTTCAAAATAAAAACAACACGCTTGTATTGTATACATGAAGCATGCTTATTTACATTTGATTTCCGATTGGCCTCACGTGGGATGGACAGGAACTGCTCAAGGGCCGGATGTGGTTGTGAAATGCTCAGATATGTTCTGTTGACAGGTCCCTGCAGCTCCTCCAAGCCAGTCTGGATCACGAGGCCTCCACTTCTAACGCTGTTTCCGCAAATGCTCTTCTGTGGCTTCTGAAATCCATGCGAGAATAACAGAATTGGAAGGGATCTTGGAGGTCATCTATCCCAACCCACTGCTTTGGCAGTAAACCCTAAAAACTTCTAACACACAACTTCTTGAGGCAAGCTGTTCCCCTGATTAATTGTTCCCACTGTCAGGAAATTCCTCCTTAGTTCTAGGTTGCTTCTCTCCTTGATTAGTTTCCATTCATTGCTTCTTGTCCTGCCCTAGGGCGATTTGGAGAATATATGGACTCTCTCTTCTTTGTGGCAGCCCCTTAGATATTGAAACACTGCTATCATGTCACATAGAGTCTTTCTTTTCATTAAACCAGACTTACTCAATTCCTGCAACTGTTCTTGGTAAGTTTTAATCTCCAGTCCCCTGATGATCTTTGTTACACTTCTCTGCACTCTTTCTAGAGTCTCAACAACATTTTATATCGTGGTGAACAAACCTGGATGCAGTATTCCAAGTGTGGCCTTGCCAAGGTATTATAAAGTGGTAGTACCTAGCATTTCATGCAGTGGTGGGATTCAAATTTTTTTACTACCGGTTCTGTGGGTGTGGCTTGGTGGGGAAGGATACTGCAAAATCTCCATTCCCTCCCCACCCCAGTAACCTGCTTTCCAGCTCCATTCTCCTGTGCAGGGCAACCAAAGAAGACCCAGCCAATCAGCTGGGACTTGGGAGGCGGAGAATAGATGGGGGCGGGGCCAGTCAGAGATGGTATTTTCTGGTTCTCCGAATGACACAAAATTTCCATTACCAGTTCTCCAGAACTGGTCCGAACCTGCTGAGTACCACCTCTGACTTCATATCATCTTGATCCTGATCTTGACACTTTGGAAAATAGTTGCTGTTAGTAGTTGGTGAATGCTGGGGTGTCACCCCCCACACCCCCAATGTTGTGACATGTCGTGGGTTTGCCATCAGGAGGACGTTGAGGAAGACGGGCCACAAAGAGCAATTTTAACCTGCAATCGTTCAAGCAGCCCATGATACGGATGTCAGCAGTTCCTACTTGTAAACAAAACTTCCCCTTGAGCCAAAGCATAAACTGTGGTTATTCAATGACTTCCTTCCACCTCATTCTGACACGGTATCTCTGGTCTGCATTCTGACTCCGTGGTAAAAGAATTTTACTTCAGATTGCTGGTGATTTGACCGCTGCTAAGATTGCACATTCCTCCAGCAGAAACTCACACACCCCCTGCAAAGAAAACTAGAGAAGAATTTTCCAGCTGTCTTCCTCATTTGATAATTTTCTACACATATATACTTTTTTTCTTTTTGGCGTTAATTCCTGCAAGCTGTCACTTGCGCCTAAAACGTTCCAGTTTGGTATATTAAACGGGCCTGTTTTAGTCCCAAGCTTATTTTCTGATTACTTTAGCAAGACGGGACAGAATACAGAATCAAATACAGGATGACAGACTTGGAAGGGCCTTAGAGGTCATCTAGTCCAACCCCCCCCCCCACTACTTAAGCAGGAGATCCAATATCATTTTCGACAAAATGGTTTTCCAGTCTCTTCTTAAAAAGCCTCCAGTGTTGGCACACCCACAACTTAGGAAGGCAAAATGTTCCATGGGTTGATTGTCCTTGCCGTTCCTTAGTTCTACGAGGAAGTTATTCAAGTGTGGAAAATCCACACCTCAGTGGCATTTATCATGGTGTGGGGAAATCAATATGCCCAATGACGGGAATGGGACCTGCTCAGCCCACCTTGTCAGTTTGTTGTGCTTTTATACTTCTCTAGTAAAGGACGCATAACGGAGTGAGCTCCTGTTACTTGTCCCAGCTTCTGCCAAGCTAGCCATTCGAAAGCGTGTAAAAATGCAAGTACAACAATAGGGACCCCTTGGGTGGGAAGGTAACAGCCTTCCGTGCACCTTTGGTGTTTAGTCACGCCGGCCACAGGACCACAGAAATGTCTTTGGACAGTGCTGGCTCTTTGGCTTTGTGACGGAGAAAAGCCAGAAACGACTAGCATGTACGTGCAAGGGGAACCTTTACCGTTTACCTTTAGTAAAGGACTTGACCCACAAAGGAGGCTGGAAAATCATTTGTGCGGGAGAAGAAGATGCGAACTTAACCTTTCCCTGTGGGTGGACAGTGTGGTACACACCCCTAGTTTACGGGCTGATCCATATATAATTGTGACATGTGTTCATTAACCAGAGTTTATGGCTTGATGTACTGGGCAAAGTCATCCAGCGGGATTCCTTCCAAAAGCCTCCTTTACAAAGCCTGTCTGAGCCAGAGTTGACACTAAGGAACGCAAGCCACAAACCAACCGGCCACATAATGTGCAAGACAAACCCAGCCAGGACGCTTTACAGGCTCTCACTGATGCCTCAGCGAGTTGCGGGTTGGCGTCTGAATCCCCTTTCCAAGCAGTTAACCCAGTGGTGGGATTCAGGTTTTTTTTTTTTTGCTACCGGTTCTGTGGGCGTGGCTTGGTGGGCATGGCTTGGTGGGCATAGCAGGGGGAGGGTACTGCAAAATCCCATTCCCACCCCACCAGGGGTGATATTCAGCAGGTTCAGTCCAGTTCTGGAGAACCGGTAGCAGAAAATTTGAGTAGTTGGGAGAAGCGGCAAATCCCACCTGTGACAGACCCTGCCCCCATCTCTTCTCTGCCTCCCATTGAGTCCCAGCTGATCGGCTGGGTCTTCTTTGGTTGCCCTGCACAGGAGAACGGAGCTGGAAAGCAGGTTAGTGGGGTGGGAAGGGAAGGGGGATTTTGCAATATCCTTCCCCTGCTACGCCCACCAAGCCACGCCCACAGACCCGGTAGTAAAAAAAATTGAATCCCACCACTGTTCCCCACCCCACTAACCTGCTTTCCAGCTCCATTCTCCTGTGCAGGGCATCAAAAGAAGACCCAGCCGATCAGCTGGGACTTGGGAGGCAGAGAATAGATGGGGGTGGGGCCAGTCAGAGGTGGTATTTGCCGGTTCTCTGAACTACTCAAAATTTCCACTATCGATTCTCCAGAACTGGCCAGAACCGGCTGAATCCCACCTCTGGATTAACCACAATCCAGGAACATTGGAGTCGGTTCAACCCCTTTCTCTGTGAGTCCGTTTGGCCACCACTGAGCCCAACATTTCTGTGGCTGAGATATTCGTTAAGTGAGTTTTGCCCCATTTTATGACTTTTTAAAAAGTGTTTTAAGTTGTTGAGTGAATCACTGCCCTTGTTAAAATTAGTTAATATGGTTGTTGGCTTCTCCACTGGCTTGGCTGGTCAGAGGGTGGCAAAAGGAGGATCACGTCAACTCCGGGATGCTGCAACCGTCATGAGTTGGCTAACCCGGCATCCACATTGGGATCACGCGACCTTGGGGGCTGCTGCAACGGTTAAGTTGTGAAAAACGGCCACAAGTCACTTTTTTCAGTGATGTGGTAATTTCGAATGGACACTAAATGAACTGTTGTCAGTTGAGGACGAACTGTCGGGGTGGGGAGGAAAGTGGAGAGAAAAGGCCACTGCCAACAGGCTTCCCCAAGGATGCCACTGAAATTCATGTGATGCCCTTTCGCTTCCTCCCACCTCCCTTGCAGACGCCTTGTTGGAAGGAGAGGGGGGGGAAACCGGCCATGCCCCATTTGCATCCACAAAAGCAGGAATGCAGGTAGCTGTCTGTGAGCCAAAGCAGGTGATCCTATACAATCTCTCGCTCTCCCTCTCTCCTCTTCCCTC